GGACGTTCCCGGCGGAGCCCCACAGCCTGGCCGTGCAGCCAGGAACCAGCGGGTGGGTGGGAAAGTGGTGGTGGGGGCAGGGGGAAGTGGAAGCAAGCAGTGTGTGGGAGCACAGGGTCTGTGCCAGTGTCCCAGGGCCCAGAGCAGGGCGGTAGGAGCATGGGGCTCAGGCTGGCAGGGGTCTGTGGAGCCGGGCTGGGCTGCACCAGCAGGGAGATGGGGGAGCTGTCCCAGCTCCATAGAGCCCCTCCAGCCGGGACCCTGCGCTCCTGCTGCCCTATTCTGGGCCTCGCCAGTGCTGGCCCCAGGACACCGGTGTGGGCCTTGCACTTCTGTCCGACTGCCACTGGCTCCCACGTGCCTGCTCACTCCCAGTGACCTGCCCCAGCCCCTCGGTACAGGTGGGGAGCAGTGCACAGCCCCAACCCTGTGCTCGCCCGTGGGGAACGAGTGGTGCTGAGTGCGAAGAAAAAGTGCACCTCCCCTGTGGCCAGTGCTTCCTGCTTGCAGCCGCTCGCAGCCCGTGCAGGGCTGTCCTGCCTTTCTGCCACATCACCGCCACCCCACAGGGCAGCGGTGGCAACAGAGAGCAAGCACTGGCAGCCTCATGTGCACTTGGAGCTTGGCAGAAGCTTCTGCTCAGCGTGGAGAAAAGCGGCCCCTGCTGCTCAGTGCTGCTGGGCAGTGTTTGCCTTGGCCACCTGCCCAGAGCCTGCACTGCACTAAGCTGTATTGTGGCTACTTCACTACCGCATCTCTGCTGACCAGCGGCTGCTCCACACGGCCACTGCTGCCATGCTGGGCAGCAATGAGGCAGCGGTGAAACAGCCACACCACAGCCTAGTGTGGTGCAGGCAGCGCTGAGCAGCAGCTTCTGGGGAACAAGCTGGTGCTCAGCGTGGGGGGAAAAGCGCCCCCTGCCCCCTGTGGCCAGCGCCCTGTGCTACAGCTGCTCCAAGCCCGTGCAGGGCTACCTGTGCCTGCTCTCCGGTGCCACCTCTGCCCTGCAGGGTGGCAGTGACGTGGTGGAGAGGCAGGACAGCCCTGCGCAGGCTGCAAGCAGCTGGAGCAAGCAGCACTGGCCCCGGGGGGGGGGGGGCTTTTCCCCCACGCTGAGCACCAGCTTGTTCATCGCGGGTGAGCATGGGGTTGGGGCTGCACACTGCTCCCCGTCTGTACTGCAGGGCTGGGGCAGGGGCAGTGGGAAGGAGCGGGAGCATGGGAGCCAGCAGCAGCCGGGTGGGAGCACAGGGCTTGCACTGGTGTCCCAGGGCCAGTGCCGGCGGGGCCCAGAGCAGGGCAGCAGGAGCCCGGGGTCCCAGCCAGCAGGGGGTCTATGGAGTCTGTCCCAGAACCCTTCCTGTTTTAAGTTAAATCAGAATCCCCCAGCAGCCCAGCATGCTTTTTAGCCCTGGACTAGGCTGTGCTGTCTTCTCCAGAGAGCAGGGCTGGCCCTGCCCTTCTGCTCTCTAGATGGAACAGTGAGAGCTGGCTGACAAGGGTGTGGAGGTGGAAAACCTGGCTGGGGACAGCAGCCAGGTCTGTCTGAGTGTTTGGGGCAGGCCCTGCCAGACCTTTCCCCACTGGAGCAGAGGGGGCATGGGTGGGGGGCAAGGCAAGGCAAGAGCCTGAAAGGACCTGCCCCCACACCAGGCAAACCCCTGATGGGGTCTGGGAGGGCCTTTAATCCCTCCTTTGCCAGCTTAGTGTACTGGCTCCAAGCCCTGCAGGACCCGACTGAGAGGTGGGAGGTGTTGACAAAGACCTAACACAATCATCACATATAAGTGCTAGAGACAGAGGAGCAGGAGAGGATCACAGATAGCTTGAGCTAGCATGACCAAAGAAAGCAGAAAACTACATTGGTAGTGTAGTACAAATACATTAGATTTTAGACATAAGGCTTAAATTTAGACATGATGCTTTATTTTTGCAATATGCTTCTGTATTCAACATGGCTTGCCAATAGCTTCTGCATATAGGTTAAAGGCAGCTTTGCACATAGAGTTTCACAATCGCACCTGTTCAATGACCTAGAGTTACACGAAGATAAGGGGTTACTAAAGGACAATGAGTTTACCACAGCTTCCCCAACACGCATGTGCCATCATCTATCCCATAATAAGTT